TTTTTGGAGCCTTCCTTTTCACATCCTCCAAATCTACAAATTATGGATCTGGTCAACCGGTCTCTCAATGCAATTGATCAAATTTTCTCGACGAGAAAACTGGACACAGGAGAGCCCTCTTGTCCTGATTGGGAACTGAGATGTAACGGTGAGAATTTATGAGAGATTGAAATTTATAATCTACCCAACTTAAGACATTCTGTATCTGAACTGGCTTTTCCCATGTGGCCTTGGAAGGGCTGCATATTTACAATCTCCTTGAAGATATGTAAACATAATACTCCTTCCCATCTCACCCCCTTCTGTTATCCATGCAGCTGCGGAGCTGAGCACTTCCAAGAACAATATATCAGACTTCTACCTTGAGGCTGAGTACGTGGTTTCATGGCCCCGTGATGTCACCGCCTTCACTCATGTCTTTCTTTTGACCTTTATTTTGTCTGAATGTTGCCATGTGCCCTTTCCTTTTTTTATTTCATTCCCCTTTATTATTATTTAGAAACTGTAGAGTAATCACTATTTAGACCGCTATTATATTTCTTAGATTCATTTTTAGATTATTTTGCAGAGAGACTCCTGTTATTGCAAACAGATTAGATTTAGAACAACCTATAGAATCCAGAAAAAAAAATCTTCCCAAACAGGAACATTTAGTTTTTATTATTACTTAGAAATTGTGGAGTACTCATTACTTTTGGGTCCAAAATTAGTCTTTGTTTGGTCATGCATAACGTTAAGCGTAAGGAAACGGTAAGGAAAAGAAACTCTGCATAGAACTGTAAAAGAACCGTTCCTTTGATCAAACATGAAACTGAATAATAAACTGTAAGAGATAAGAAATTGCTGTAAACTCAGATATATGAACACATTTTTAGTTTGCTTTTAAAAACATTCAAACTTCCTTTTCCACAGCTTAGGGCCCCAATGATAAAAAAACGGACTCCTCAATGTATGTTCTAATTCTCACACCAAGCACCAGAAGAAGACTTTTCCACAATACTTGCTGAGATTATTTTGAGTTTTAGATAGCAGTAAAGAGCATCTTAAATCAATTTAATTTAAAGACTTTAAAAATAATAAGATGTGAGCTCGCTCTCTGGCCCACTTTTGCAGTTTTGGGGCTGAGTTCTGAAGTGGAGATAAGGTTATTTTTAGGAGAACCAGAAAGCAGGACATTACAATATCTATGCTACAAGCTATAAAAGATAAACAACGATCTCTAAATTGAACTAAGGGAGAAACTGTGACAGTTCTTAAAGTGATAATGTATTTTTGTCACATATAATGTGGTTTCAAGTTTGATTTAGGAGTTATTGGGCTGAGCTGAATAAATCATTGACGGTGTTTGAAGCAGGGCTGTGAGTTTCTGTGCCAATAACTAAAATTGATTCTGATTTAGCTAAAGGAAACTCGGAGATATCCATAACTTAACATCCCGATTTGGTAACACAATCTACAGGGTCACAAATGTCTCTGTATCCCCCTCACTAGTCCGACACACTCGAGCCCATTTATGTGCAGTTTTCAGCTTATAAAGCACCCTGGACTTATCTATTAGGTTAAACTTAAAGAAAATATACATATGTAATTTTTTTTCTGTCCATTTCTGTTAAAGATGAATAACTTATAACCAATTAAGTTTGTTTCCTCGTCTGCAATGAACCAAATCAACAGACGAAGTGAGAACAGGAAGAAGTGACCAAAGTTAATTTATTCAAACTCATTTAGAAAAGAAAAAACAAATCCCACCTTTAACTATTTTTTCGTCGTTTCGCTGTCTTCCAGCGGGGAGTCGTCGTTCGGTCCACCGTGTCCCTAAATCCCGCGGTACTCCCCGCCGCTCCCCGCTACAAGCCGACCACCAGATGTACGGTCAAATGAGTCCCGCGGCCCTATTGGGTACAGAGCGGAGCTTTCTGAGACGTGTCCGGTTGCTCTGCCGTGCTGAACTGGATGGTCAGTGGGCTGGGCGGAGGCTGGTGGGTGGGTGGGAGAAACAGGCGGGTCCATGAGGCAGGGAAAACTGTCCCCAAACCAGGGTGCAACACGCAGGTAAAAAAGCCGACAACCTTCAACAGCTTTGAAAGCTAACGTCTAGTGGCTTCGGCGTTGCTAAGCAACCTTAAAACCCGGCTTCCAGGGTTTTCTAAAGAGACTCATAACCTGGGCTGAGACTCTGCACACCAAATGCCCTGTTACCAGTGTTGTGGTACTCGAAGTTGGTCTTGGTCTTAAGCCCGGTCTTAATACCATTTTTTGATGGTCTCGGTCTCGTCT